CACACTATTGATGTGTACAGAGCTGACATGCAGCGGGAGGACTATGCTCTCATTAGCTTGCTTTGTGGTGGTGATTACGATACAGTAAATATCTATTGAATTAATGATGATCCCCTGCTCATTCTTTGTGTGTTCGAGGCTGGACTGCCGGGCTGTGGTCCTGCCACTGCCTTTGGACTTGCTCGCTGTGGTCTTGGCCACTCTCTGCATGCTGCTGAGTCTTGTGGTCAACTTTGTGGCCCACTCCGTCAGTCATGGTGCGAGGACATGAAGCATCACCTTCGCTATGATCCAATGTCTTATGTTGGCCGTCAAAACCCTGTCCTGGCTGACAACATCTCCGAAACAGTCCCAGACTCGAATACCTGGTCGTTGTACCTCAATCCTGCAATCTCCGAGCCTCTTGTACCTGTTTGCAAGCCTGGTGTACCTGATGTTGGCAGAATTGCAGCCGCAGCTGTCTCTCTATTTGGTTGGGAGGATACAGGTCGCCTGCTTGACACATTTTGCAAAAACATCTGGCCTGGTGTTGTGACTAGTGAAATATTGCAAGACCTGAGCACCTGGCAACCAGATAACCAGGACGTAAGTCAAGATCATCTGAGCTTATGTTTGACTTGCTAATCAGCTGATGAGACAAGGTTGCACTTGCAGCAGCTGCTACACAGCACTTCTTTCTTCATTTTGCCTGCAAAAAGCAGACTGTTTCAGGAATTTCTGGTTATGACGTGCGAGTGCCTGCTGATGCCCTCTTGAAGGATACTTTTAGGTTCCTTGAACATTTATCCGCACCAGATCAACCATCAAAGTCATTCCACCTATGGGTGCCCAAGAGCATCTATAAGGCCTGGGTTAAATATATGTGGACTTCACCAATGGATGATGACAAGTCCTCAAAGGTATGTCATCCATTGTGATCCCTGCTGAAGCTGCCTAAGGTGTTGAACTAGGGACGAGGAGGCTCCTCATCACATGGCACCATTGATCTGACAAACCAGGGTGATGAAAGTGAGTGGCTAATTGATCTGACGAGTGGAGGTCCCAGTTGCAGTCCAAAGAGCAAGGGGAAGTTGAAGGCTCGTTCTATGGATGTCATTGACCTCACATAAATTCAATCATGTCCTATGTTACTGAATATAAGTATGCATATGTTGTTTTGAGCTAAGCACAAGTGCATGTGTGACCACATGTGGGGCAAGGATCATCTCGAGGACGATCAGGGTTAAAGTAATCCTCTCGTTCGACAAATGGACTATCAGTCCAGGACAGCAAATATTTAAAAATCGTGCCTGGGTTGTCGAAGTTCTCAGCCCATCCTCCCCATGTGCAAATGTTGCGAAATGGCCAACGGAGAACCATGGCAAGGTACTGACATCCACCACGATGGAAGGAGTGTGTTCCATATGGATGAGGATCAACACCAATGTCAAGAAGATTGTTTCGGAAGCACTCAAGAAATGACTCAGATGACTATAACAACCAGGAAAGTCAATCATTATATGCAATGTGAAAGAATGCCAGTGTAGTACATACCATGGCATCTGTGGGGGTCACACTCACTCCATCACTGCCCATTTTTTTTCAGAATATATACCCATCAAGATGATCATTGCCTTGGCTTGCAAGAAGCCACCACACTGCAAATGCACGAACAGGGCACATCCATGGCTTGTGAATATTGGCATATAGATAAAATGGTGCTATCCCTGACTCAGATAGATGATTAAAATATAAAATCAAAGTCAAACCACTGTGACTCACCACCCTGTTGATGTGTCTTTCGAAAAGGCAGCATCAGATGGACACGGAAGTCAGTAGACCTGAATCCCCCTTGGCAAAGGAGGTCAGGAGTGGCATCAATCCACTGGTTTTTGAGCACAGCATCCTTGACCTGGAAAGTGATGTCGGACCAAGTAATCTGAAGAGCTTCATCAAAATGAAGGAGGCAGAGGAATGATACCAGATAAAGGAGATAAAGCATCATCCGCATGAGGAACCCACCCCAGTCCTCTGGATGCTCAGCCTTCCTCTTCCTTGATATCCGCATGTGCTCATTGCGCTCAGCAGCACAATTGAACACCCACAGTGCCTTCAAGGTGGGCTCATCTATAGCACGGGCACTGATCACAGTTTCACCCGCATGAACCTGCAAGTTAAAATCACTGAATTTGAGGTGGGGAAAAAGGCAGCATGTGCACCTACTTTACGACACCGAAGGCTGATCATATACTGTGACACTACAACTGACAGAGAGGGATTACCAATAAACCTTCCAGGATATGCAGGATTCTCCATCCATGGTTGGGTGCCAAGTCCATGGTCTCGTCCAAACTTGTGGCTGATTGCTGCTCGCATCTTTTGTGCATTGTTGTAAGTTGCACGTGGCACTGTCAATGGCTTGGGCTTGCCAGTGCAGATGTCATTCTCATCACACCTGGTGTATGTAGCAGAACTCATGAGCTTAAATGAGTCTTCATAATTAAGAATCTCACTCACTTATCCATGATCCAAAGTGCGATCCATTTTGGATAGTCGGCAGAGATATTTGATGGAAGATGCTCAGCCTCATCTACAGTTTTGGCCTTGCCAATCTCAGCACAGAATTGCTTGAACTGCTGCCATAGTCTGCAAATGTATATAATGAGCCAAGGCTGTGCAGACTCATAGTCCAAACAAATGACCTTTCATAGTTACTCAGAGTACTGCTTACAATGACATGCTCAGATGCTCGTTTGAGATTGTAATCCATGTCCAGTGTAGCCATGTTCGAGGGACCAGGACCACTTGCAACAGTCTTGGTGGCACTCTCATCCGAGCCATGTGCAACAGGACGAAGCTGGCCAGTCAACTGCTGAGCATCAACTTGAAAACTGGCCTCAAGAGACTCGATTTCTTCAGTATAATCATCTTCAACAGCTTTGAGACTGATTCCCTCAGACTCAGTGAAATATGCAGTGGCACCTGGAAAAGACATGATATTGAGAGGAGTGAATGGGACGGTGGTCAATTGAATGTGGCTGAAACTTGACTTGGAGGAATTCAAAATCGGAGTCATACTAGTATCAACTAATATCTGGTTCGACGATCACAACTTTGCTGACTGTAAACCCATCCAAGTCTCTCATTACCTCAAATTTATATATGCCTGCAACTGAGCTTATTACCCTACCAAAGCTCGGACAGAAGTATGCTCCAGACAAAGCTCTCGAAGAGGAGCATTTTGCTGTGTATGTTGGTTACAACATGTCTGTCTCACTCCGATTTATTAACATCTCAATTAGTCACTCAAATACAACAAAAGCTGTCATCAAGACTCGAGTGATGGGCTATGGGCTGCCTTCATCAGGAACTCGTGTGGCTCTTCTTGACAGGCTGCGAAGTTTCTCAGTTAACAGGGATGAGTGGATAATGTGAGTAGTTTACATTCTGCAGGCTAATAGTATAGTGAGAACACAATATCCCACAGCCTATTCGAACCAACAAAGAGGCGAAAACGCGGAGTACACACTGGTCGTAAAGGAAACTCACTCTCCTCGCAACAAATTCAATCCCAATTTGGTGGGGAAGACACAAATGTCACGCTGTACCAAAGTAAGAAGGGAATTGACCGTGTGCAGTGTACATTATGAGACAGTGACAGGCAGGCAAATTCAGCATGGGTAAGTGCACTCTGTCCATCACAGTCTACAGAGACTCGAATAGACCTCACCTTTTGAAAAATTCAGGCTCAAGCTGTTATCACCTGTTTCGGCATTAGCACTGACTTGCGGCCTATTAATGGGGCTGTGTTGACATCACACATTGATGGGGAGAGTCAGGACAAAGATATCAGAAGTGACAAAGCAACAGTGGAACCACAGGGAGATAGCGAGGAGGTAAGTCTGACTACAGGTTGCGAAAAAATTTGCACTGATTCAAACATTTGTTTAGGACACTTTAGCACTCACACGTTATGTACGGTGTTTCCAGCGCAGCCTTTTCAACTGCGTCGACGAAGTTGAGGACAAAATTGACCAAATGTTGCGCTTGCACACAAGCACAAGTCCATCTGTCCCTCCTGAGACAGCAGCAGTCTTGATTCCACCTCGATGTGAGCTCAGATCTGAGGTACTAGTACCTACAGCATCCCCTTTGGACACTACAGGCCATACAGTACCTCAAGACGAAATTCCTGCAGCAAATATGAGGATCGCGTGACTCGGAGATGAAGATTTTGCATATGACAAGTCTCAACTGCGAGGTCCACCACTCATCCACTTCTCTAGGGACATTGAGAGGCTCTGTTGTGAGTGGGAGTCATCTGATCTCCTTACTGTGAATGGTCGTGGCATTCCCATCAAATATTGGGGAGAGTTCTTCAAAAAGTCGAAAACTCGCAGTGAAAACTCAGCCTGGGACTCAATTAAAGTTGAATGGGGGAACTGGAAGGTGAGTGGAGAATATGATTGTGCAAAACTTATGGCTCGACGCAATTTTTAGTTTATTGCAGAGGAATGGCAGTGTTTTCCAAGCGCTGATGCATTTCGGGGAGAATATTCGAACGCAACGACCCAAAGTAGACTCACCTACCAGCAGATCCTCGACCGGTTGACTTTGCATCGCAAAGAAAATGCAGCGCAAGATGCAGCTGATGCATGAAACTTTTTCGGAGGAAATCTCAACCACCCAGATGCATGTGGTGCCTTCCGGTACCTCAAACGTGGTCAAACACACATCCTCAGCAAGGATGATGCCATCGCAAAGAAATGGAAGGATCTGCTCGACAACGACCCGGCCATTGCAACACGTTTCACACAGATGGCCTCCATCCTGCAAACCTGATCTTGTTTTTCTCCATCTCATGATCTATCTTGCAAGTTACTGTCTTTGTTCTCGTCCTCGTCACTCTATACCTTACAAACTTACTTATCTATTAGCACCATACTATCACAGCAGCTTTTGGCCCTTCGAACAAGTTTATATTGCATACTCTACCCTACTTACACTGACTAGTACTTAGTACCTACATGTTACCTTACTCGTTGATCAAATTCAACCTTCTTTGATGCCCTCGATCTCACTCGCTCGGATAAGGTGAGCCTTCTTGAGATAATCCTTGACCGTGGTGTTCTCATCGCCGGTCAGAGAAGGCAGTCCGAGAGCAGGAATAGAGACGGAACACGTCGTTCGTTTGAGGCGAACGGATGAGTGCAGATGTGAGTCCCTGCAGGCTAGTAGTTACATCTAAGTCTTGATCAGCACTTAGAGGAATCACTCACTGTATCTCTCATGGGTGTCGTTGTGTTTGTTGTCCATTTTTGAGAAGTCCAGAGCGGGAATAGAGACAGAACGCGTCGTTCGTTTGAGGCGAACGGATGAGTGCAGATATGAGTCCCTGCAGGCTAGCAGTTATATCTAAGTCATGATCAGCACTAGAGGAACCACTCACTGTATCTCTCATGGGTGTCGCTGCCTTTGTTGTCCATTTTCGAATAAGTCCAGAGCAGGAATAGAGACGGAACGCGTCGTTCGTTCGAGACGAACGAATGAGTGCAGATACGAGTCCCTGCAGGCTAGTAGTTATATTCAAGTCACGATCAGTGCTAGAGGAACCACTCACTCACTGTATCTCTCATGGGTGTTGCTGCCTTCATTGTCCATTTTCGAAGAAGTCCAGAGTGGGAATAGAGATGGAACACGTTGTTCGTTCGAGACGAACAGATGAGTGCGGATGCGATCATGCGAGTTTCTGCAGCCTATTGGTAGCTATCTGTATTACAGTCTTGATCAGCACTAGAATCTAAGGAATGATGACTCACCGTATCCCTAAAACCCAGGTGTTGTCGTCCGTTTTCCAGACACGGTGGATGAAACGATCGAGCGTTATCGATCGATTGTGACCTCTGGTGTTTGAGGTCTCTCCGTTCGAACCGGCAGCAAGTCTGAACGAGGCGCATGTGCGGTGGCTGATGCCAAGCGTGCGAAATTTACAGACTGGGCGTGGACTGTAAACGTCCAGCCAGCGGACTGTCAATCTTTCGTACGAAGTTTCTTGTGCTCGTTTTGCCAATACCGTTCCATGTGCGCCTGGACCTCGACCACCGATGATTGACGTCTTGCGGATCGAAAAGCAGCCCGAGAAATGGAACGACCGATGTCGTTGACTGCCTCCAAGGCACCTGCAAAGACCACTGACAAAGAAGCAGGTGGACCTTGATACGGGGATCTCGATTCTCAATCTCCAACAAGGCCAATCTCGTATGATATCTTCGAGCGCGTCGGTACGTCATCCTACCTCTACATCAACTTCGTCGTGGGTCTAATTTGGCCACAGTGTTTGAGGCAGGTGCACCCTGATATGTGCCCATCTCCAATGGGACTGCGGCCATCCTGAACTCGTTTGTCAATGACATCTTCAAGTGCATTGGTACGTCCTCCTACTTCTTCGTCGCGGGTCCAACCTTTGTCGCAGTGTTGAGGCAGGTGCACCCCGATACCGGGGATCTCCAATGGGGCCATGGCCATCTTGAACTCATTTGTTCAAATGATATCTTCGTGCGCACCTGTGCACCCTGACAGATGGGCATCTCCAATGGGCCACAGCTATCGGATAAACCACGAGTAGATGGGTCTGCCCCAACGTGCGGCATCCTGGTAGTTTCCCTGAAGAAAGTCGCCGCAGATCCAATTGGATTTAGGTATGAACTTCTATTGGACAAGTTTTCTCAATTTTCACTTACTATTGAATTATAGGGAATCATTTTGTCACAAATGATATTCTTCGTGCGCACCTGTGCTCCCTGACAGACGGGCATATCCAATGGGCCATGGCTGTCGGATAAACCACGAGTAGATGGGTCTGCCCCCAACGGGCGGCGTTTTTTATATCACCACTTATTCACTAGTTGAGACATGACGAGAACATGTATTGTAAGTATCTAGTTAACCACAATGACAAGTTCTTCCGCAGCTATAGCAAGGGTCACAGCCTGGCCTGTTTGGGTTCATGTAATGTTCGCGAGCCTCTGCTGGATTGTCGTTCCAAGACAAGAGGTACTTGAATATGGTACCAGGGATTGTCAAAATTCTCAGCCCACCCACCCCAGTCGCAGATCTTCCGAAACGACCAGCCTCGCACCTGTGTGCAGAAATTGACACCCGCCTGCGACTGAAACGAGTGGGTACCGTATGGACACGGATCAACACTTATGTCGAGGAGATTGTTCCGGAAGCATTCGAGGAAGGAGTCCGAGGTCTGAGTATAACATATCAACCTTAATTCTCTTGATGACTACTAACCTCGAGCTCACCATGCAGTCCGTCGGGCTCACACTAATGCTGTCCACACCAATCTTTTTGCGAAAGATGAACCCGTTGAGTTCTCTGTGTCTCTCGTGAGCTAACAGCCACCAGATAGCGAATGCTCGCAGCAAGCACATCCACGGCCGGTCAGGATCAGCGTAGATGTAAAATGGGGCTATGCCTGTGGGTTCGAGGTTAGCCGTAAGGTGGGCAACAGCCCATACAGTCACTGACCTCCATACTGATGTGTCTTTCGAAATGGTAATTCTAGCTTCACTCGAAACTGTGCGGGTTGGTAGCTGACCTGTGACGTGAAAAGCTCGGGAGTCGCATCGAGCCAGTGGTTTTTTATCAGCAAGTCCTGAACCTGGAACGTGACATCGGCCCAGGTGATCCACAATGCTTCGTCGTAGCGGAGCAGGCAAAGCATGGAGAGAAGGTAGAGTAAATAAAGCATCTCGCGGAGCAAAAATCCAGCCCATTCAGAAGGATTTTCTGCCTTTCGTTTGCGTGAGATCGGGCCAAATTCTTTTCGGTCCCTGGACCATGCAAATTCCCAGAGCCTCTTCATGGTAGGTTCATCCATCGCGCGAGCACTCATTACTGCTTCGCCTGCTCGGATCTATAGCGTGAAATCAGCACCGACACCAATTTTCATGATGCTAAAGTCCAATACCTTTCGCCGACGAAGACTGACCATATACTGTGAAATCGTCACCGAAAGTGAGGGGTTTCCGATGAATCTGCCTGGCATAGCTGGGTGCTCCAGCCATGGCTGTGTTCCGAGCTGGTAGTCTCTGCCGAATTTGTGGCTTATGGTGGCACGCATCTTCTGTGCCGTGCCATATGTTGCACATGGAACACTGGGATCCTTTGCTTTCCCGGTCCATATATCGTTTTCGTCGCATCTCGATTCCATAGCTTAGCACGAAATAAACACAACATTTGATGCACTCACTTATCCATGATCCATAGCGCGATCCATGTTGGAAATTCAGCCGGAAGGTTTGGAAAAAGATTGTCAATCTTGCTCGCAACTTGTGCTTTGTCGATGGTAACACAAAATTCTTTAAACTGATTCCAGTATCTGGAGAGATCATGTGCGTGAGATTCGAGACATTTTTGCTGGTCCCATGCCATACCTCTGGTAGTCGGAGAGTGTTGTACCAATAACCACTCCCTCTGATGCTGCCTGCAAACTAGATGCTAACTGGTTGTTGCTGTGTTTAGGCTTCTTCTTTTTCACGTTGTCCTCGCCACCAGCAGTGTTTGTAGTACTGAAGCGAAGGGTGCCAGCAGCTTCACAGTCATCAACATCAAAGCTGTTGAGGAGAGATTCCTCCTCCTCGGTCTGATCCTCTTCTGCAGCCTCGACACTGATGTGTTTTGACTCGGCAAAGTATAAATCAGCACCTTTGAAGGCATGTAGTAAGGACTCGGACATGATAGAAAATTTGGGTTCAGAGTCTAGACCAAGTGATCGAGAATTGAAACACTCGGCCGGCACGGAAACAAACTAACTTGAACCCCCTGATTCAATTTAAACATTGAAACTGACACGTAAATACATTACCATTACAGTTCATGGTGTCACCATGTCTCAACATCACTCAGAGTCAGAAGAGCTCGAACTGCCCGTACTTGGTCAAACGTACACACCAGGACAAGCAATTGAATCTTTCATTTGGACAGTGTATGTCACACATTTCTCCACCTTTCAGCATATTTGATTTAATTCATGAAAATACAACAGAACAGCGAAGACAACGAAGGCTAACTTACACGAGAAGCTCAAGAGCTATGACAGGCCAACCCGTGGCAATCGCACGGAGATGTTGGACAGACTTCGTCAGTTTTCCAATGACCGAGACGAGTGGCTGAGGTGTGTCACCGGCGTGCTGAATCAGTGCTCGTGTACCTAATTCTTGGTAAAGCTTATTCAGGCCTAAGCTGAAACAGAAATGAGGGGAACATGCCTCATGCCAATCCCTTTCGAAATGAAGGATTGAGGAGGTGTTCGGAATCGAAGAACAAACAATTACGTACAAAAGCAAGAAGAGCGCAAATTGCACACAACGGGCGCTCCAGGATGACAATCGAGCTGCAAATTCAGCATGGGTGAGCAGAAGTGTGCCATACCATCGAAGCCTATAATAATATTGTCAAAAAGGCACATGCAGTGCTGTCAGCGTTCGGTATGCCTCACGATTTGAGCGTACCTCGATAACACAGCGAAAAAGCTGCCACCAACAAATTGCCTCGACAACCGAAGCTGAAGAACGTCCGCAACAGGATGCTTTTGCTGTTCGTATGCGGAAAGTGGATTCCAACATGTCATCTGTGCGAGAGGACCTCAGTAATGTCGAAAATCACGTCAGTGTTCTCACATCGCACATTCTCGATATGAAAACACTGATGAAATCAAAAGATAAAGATACACGCACCTTACACATGGAGACTCGAAGCTCTGGGTGCCATAACACAGTTGTCCAGTCCCACGCAGAAGCACGCATTGTCAGCAACAATGCGCCGTCCAAACCTCGCACAATGATGCAGACAGCATCCACATCTCTGCCTCCAGAGGTAATCCCCCCCGAAAACCTCGGAATCGCGCACCTTGGCCAAGAGCAGTTTTTGTATGACAGGACAACTGTGCCGTCACCTCCTACAGTCCACCTCTCGAAAGATATTAACCGGCTGTGTGAAGAATGGGAGGAATCGAACTTACTTGTTGTCAACGGTCATGGAATCCCTGTCAAGTATTGGGGTGAGTTCTACAAGAAAGGAAAGGGTGTCAAGACTGCAGCATGGGATGCGCTTCGAGTAGAATGGGGAAATTGGAAGGTATGATTGATCTCCAGCAAGTTGCATGTGCTATCTGACCATTCATTTGTCTTCAAGTTCATTGCTGAAGAACGGCAGTGATACCCAGACAACACCTCGTTCTGGTGTGCATTCAGTGACGAGAATAGCAAGATTTGTTCTTACCAACAGATCCTGAACTGTCTCGCAGAGCACCGAGTCTCTGCTGCTGCCCGAGACGCTAAAGATGCGTGCGATTTTTTTGGTGGCAACCTCGACCACCCACTGGCCCGCAGTGCCTTTTGCTACACAAAAGGTGGCAGGGCTTACTTGTCGAGCAAGGACGACACCGTTGCAAAAAAGTGGCGCGAGCTTCTGATGACATGTCCTGACATTGTCGAACAACGGACACGCCAAATCTTCGGTGGACCACAACCCTGAGGAGCAGGTTTCCTGATCATAAGTAAGGTAGCTTCAATCTTCACTCGGGCATTTGTCCAATAGTTCATTAACAGTAAATTTTTCTAATCTACTACTGTACACACAAGTATGCGCTACATAATCTAGTTATTTTGTCTCCACACCCGCGGCCCCAACTGTTGCGCTCGAAGATGTCGTCAACAAGGTGCGATGCTTTCTCCTCCTGCTTGGGGGAGGTATGGGCCAAGAATGTTCATCCCCTCTTCGAAATAACCCTTGTGAATGACACCAAGGGCAGTGGTCGTAGATAACTTGGCCCAGTTAGATGCTAAACCGAGCCATTCAAGGTTTTCACGAAGGAACACGTCAGAAGTTGTTCCAGCATGCATGAAGGTGTTCTGTAGAGTAACCACAGTATGATATATAGACGTCCGAGCTTTGAGAACTTCCTAGTGACAGAATATTAATGACATTTAAAATCTACCATGAGAATACTCACCTTCGTGTTCTTCAGAATTAGCATATCTACTTTATTGTTGCGCTTCAAGAATTCCAGGTATAGTTTGACAGACTCTTGCCCATCCAAGATTTTACGGAGCTTGTCGTATATGTCTTGTGTTTCCTAGGGGACAAACTTAACATATCATTTGCATGTATATGATAATACTTACCTCCTTGCCCTCAGGTAACTCGGCCTTCACCCCCTGCAAGAATTCCCGAGCACCTTCCCTCAACTAAGTCGAATGCGAATCCACAGAATATTGACACAGTGGAGCTAACTGCATGAATTAGGATGGGATGTCAGGAGAGCCCATCACACAGGGCTCGTGTTTTGGGATGACGATGTCAATGCTATACAAGCTGCGCAATACTAAATACATGGGGGGAGGGGGCACTAGATACAGTAGGTTGAAAAATAACAAGTGCATCAGAGAGTAAGATCGATAAAGTTATGACTGGCACCGGCACTCCAGGGCACTACATCATCCCCATCTTGAGTGAGGTCCATGACATCACTGACCGCCACTGCTTCGTCATCAGTGCGTGAGATCAATGACACCGGTCGCAGAAGAGAGAGTAGCGTTTGAGGTGCTGGGATGATTCGGAGACTGCAGAATCATTGTCTGCACCCAGGAATCGTAAATTTTGTCGGCTGAGCCAAACTCGAACGTATCTGTGAGATCGCGGCGCACGATCCTCACAATGAGAGCAGCCAGGTGAATCCTCGAGCAACTGGAGTGTGGACTGCTCGAGGTCATGAGTGGGCACGTCATTATTGTGCCCTGGAACACCTGCAAGGGCTTTTTTTGGGCGCACGGCATGGCTCTGAAACACTGCCCTCGTGCAGGCCGGAGCAAGGGCAATCTGTACCTGACATTAATCAAAATATTCCGTGCAGAGGAGAACAGCGACAAACCTCGTCACTTGCAGGAGAATTATTAGCCAGGTCCTCGAGGACTTCGTTCAAGACCACAACAGGCCAGATCGTCGAGCAAAAGGTGCTAACGACCTTCTTCGATTCCCAGCCGAGAAGCTGTTGAACAAGCGAGGCAAGTGGAGCAATGTCAGGCGGGGCGGGGGATTGGAGAATGGGCAGCTTGGCGATTGCAGTGACAGCAGGGCATGCATACAAGTCGATGACGTGTGGATCGGGGAACGAGTCAGGGAGCGAGCACGCAAGAGCAGGATGAGAACGTCCCATTTTTCCAGTGGGGTCATCCACAAGATGATACCAAGCGGCATCCCGCCACCGTTGCAGAGGCCCATCAAGGCTGTTGCCACACATGGCAGTGCGAAGCACACCAGCATCCACGCAGTGAGCCAGGCCAAGCGCCGTTTCACGACCACACCCCACCAGGCCCTTCTGGAAAGCAGGTCTCGTCAGCCAGGCTGGCAGCAGACTGGTTCAGCTTACCTTGTCGTAATCACTGCTGCAGCATATGGCGAGGGTGAGGAATCCATCGCCAGTAAGATGGCAGTCCACGTGCTCTTGAATCGCACTTGCTGTATATAGTTTGACCGTCGAATCAATTGACAACATCGAACTTGAAATGGATCAGAGCATGCAAATGAGAGAACAAGAGAGAACTTACTTGCGCAGGACAGTGTGAGCACCAAAAACAAATGCGTCGCTGTCGTCCATCATGACAGCATCAATAACACCAGCACCGTTCATCTGCACCAGCTGCGCCTCGGCTTCTCCAGCAGCCTGCCAGTAGATAGATCTAAATGAAAAGTGTGAATAAAAAATAATAAGAAAAAAATGTACCATGATCCATTGCACATTGAACGCATTCAGTAGTCGCTGCATAGGCTTGACCATCCAATGGTCGTTGGTGGATACCCTGTGGCCCCGTTTGATCTGTGGTCGCTGGTTGCCGTCGAACGCGAAGACTAGCTGGACTGGCAGACAGGCGAGGCGAGCGAGGCGAAATAAAAATGTTTGGAGGGCAGGATTTTGGCCCGTCTGAGCATGCGCACGGTGCCACCTGCCCTGCTGGCATTGTTCGAACCACGCACTAGATTTAAACGTGAGTATTCGAGCACAGACAGCGAGCGGGAGAACATGAACCTTGCGTCGACGCCCACAACATAAGGCACATGCGGTGCGGGTCCCTCGTAGCGGCCCTGGATGGTGAGAGAGATGAGGGGCACGGTTGCTGCAGCAGGTTCAAGGACCTGAAAAACGGGGTGAGTTGTCATCACCCAGCAAGTGAACAATGGGGAGGACATGCCTCCCATAAGTCATTGATGCCCATCACGACGAGCACACTAGAAATGTAATTATAGATCAGTAAGGGCTGACGAGCACAGCTGCTAGATAGGTGGAGGAGATGGGGAGCCGAACGAGAACAGGAGACTCACTTACCTATAGCGAAATGCGTACATAAGCGCCGGTGGCAGTACCAGCCAAGGTCCTGGACTGTAAATCCGAGGACCGTCAATCTGCAGTATAGCAGCATGCAGCGCGGTTTTTTGGCGGGAGGAGAGGTCGGGTTACCACCCAAACCGAAGGTGGGTGCAAACGGAAGATTGACGGTCCTAATGTGCGAAATTCGCAGTCCCTCGGTTAGCGTGTCGGCATTTTCCCTTAGGCATAATGTTACATTGTGCTCACCTGCTCACCCAGGCACCCTCTGACCCGTCCAGCAGCTTTTGGAGCTCTCCCGCAGCTCAAAACCGTCGATTTTCGCCGCCCACGGCGTCCGCTGATCCGTCTAGCACGTATTCCGTGCCAATTTCAAACTCTGATGGGCTGGACTTAGAACTTCTGGGGTCGCCGTCTGGACTTGTGGCAGTTTCACGTTGACGCGGTGGCGGTGCAAGATTGGTCAGCTGTCACGCAGGACCGTCAATTTGCTCGTGATCAGCTCTACTTCCAAGCATGAATTCAAATTCAAATATCACGTGGAGCCCCGTCACATCAAAGAATGCTCCTTTCCTTTGCCCTTCTTTTCGGACGACTAGATCATTGAAAAAGTTTCTGGTATTGAGCAAGCGAGATTGTGAAGGGCTTCCTGTTTCAGAGCGGAACAAGTTAGAGCAAGTGGCCTTTACGCGAAACCTGTCGATCTGCTCGTAGTGCACTGACTTTTTGCGGAGCTGAGCAGGATTATGTGATCAATAGTATTAATTACATACATCGAGAAGGCCTAATATATTCTGCCTGCGCATTGCACATCACCTCAAAGCAGATATCGGCTATTCGTATACTTACATCCCATACCCACTAGAATATCTCTCAACAGTGCTTATAGGGCACCGCGTCTTGACAGTTTCCTTTGTTTGTAGCGGTATACAAATATACTCTCTCTGCTTGAGCGTCAAGATGCATAAACAGTATGCAAAGGTTAGAAAATTCACTTTCAAGTTGTTTTTTCCCCATAGAGGACCAGCGTTTCATCTCTGCCTAAGAATCATCGCACGTTGATGTGAGAATCTGCTTTGGTGTCACCGAATGCGAAATTATCTTGTCGTAGCCGCCGCTGAATATAGAGCGTCCGTGGGCCAAGAGAGTTGCATTTTCATCACCGACAGTGGTGACAAGCGAACTTGGCATCAGAACGTCTTTCTCCAAGCAGGGTAAAATGTTCAATTATTATGACGTGTAAGGCTGTGTAGATTCCTGCTTGCCGTGACAGGCAAGGTGCGCCTGTTCTCTTGCAAGGCTTCGAGTGAGTACTGCTGCATGGTATTGTCGGCAATTTCCGGGTAAAGCTTCCGGACAAGCCCAAGAAGAGGGCCGTCAATGCGTCAACAGCCAAGAGCCCCGGTTAACTTTATCCGATTGACACGAAAGACGGACTGTGTCAACACGCCTTTTCATCATCTGTCTAGATCCGATCAGAGCCGAAAGTGTGTGTGTGTGTGTGTGTGTGTGAGCAGATACAGAGATCCTCCAGACATGGCTCCTGCATGGAGAGGAATAGACGTAAAAGCTGCAATTGGATACAGCTGGATTGAATTGACTTTTAGAAGATACTGCAGGACATTGACGACAGGTAGCATGATCTCGCCCATGTTGTCCGCAAGAGGACTATTAGATCATTTCGCGCTGCTTTGGGCCCATCATAGATACGTGTCGTATTGCTCCGGCGAAGCGATCCTTGAGATTCTCCAGATCTGTGAGGGTGATAGATGGAAAGGGGACATCACGGGGCTTTCCTGAGATCGTGACAACGATAGCGCCGCACGAGGATCGATTCGCAATGAGAATGATGACTAGGCTATGACGTGCTGCCGCTTGCAAGTCTTCATACGAAGGTGGGGCAGAGATCGCGAGACACCTTCAATATTACAGATTCCAGCTGCTGCCGATCCCTACTTCTCCTTCTGAGTGATCAACAGCAGCTCGGTCTATACCGACAGCGGATCCTTGAGCATCGGATAGACAGTTCTTAACTCCGAGGACTTGTGAGCTAGGTTGAAATTTGTCGCATTTCTGTCCACGGCCCTACTCCATGATTCGGGCTGCGTGTCGTGGATTGCCGCTGCAGAAGGCACATGATGCTTCATTTACAAGCAATAATCTGGTACCACTGAAGGCAGTCGCAGCTTCGCCCATGAAATTGTCATGATCGTGTTACCAAATGTCCGTCAAGAAGGTCGAAACATGTGTTGTAGGCCTCCAACGCAGATGTATATCTGCTAACGTTACCAGCTACGGACTGTTGCAATGCAACTTGGAAAGCCCTGTGTGGGCTGTCACGATGCCAATCTGGAGTGCTCCACAGCGAGTGATTGACCAGCGTACTTGCTTTACACTGGGTAACGAGACATGCAGGCTTCCTGCAACCACACATGGCTGGTGAATCTACTAGGGGGTAGAGAAGGCGAAGCATCCAACGAGTGTTGGCAGAGTATAACCTCCTTGACATCTTCATTCATCTGGGTTTGCGTAAACCGAGAGCAGAGTGCTGAACTTGAACTTGAATTGTGAAGAGATGTATGGCGATGAGATCGTTCAGACAGTAGCCTACAAAGCGGGGTTGGTGAGGGTCGCTGCGTGATCAGGATGCCTGATCGGACACTGGGCAAGAACCGACTGAGAATGCTATATAGCATCACTGAAGCGAGAAACTGTTTTGCTTGTTACACATTTGACAAATTGTGCGTGTCCTGCATCTGTTTCTTGAGGAATTGCACAGTCTATTGTGGACTACGATTGACGTTCCATAGGCAAAATCCAACAGCATAGCTGATGCCACCGATGTCAAGCTGTGTGTTGTTCTGATTGTCACATGAATGTACCCTTCAGTGTGAGCGCAAGACTGACGCCAATAACGGGAGGGAAGAAGAGGTCTGTCAGATGTGAATAAATGAGAAGTTGGTCACCCATCGAAAGGCTCATCCCACGTCGTTTCGAGTTCGCCGATAAGTTTTCCATTGCCCAGCATTCGATCAAGCTCGAAGGATGCCCTGATGTCCAGTGAGAATGCACCTAATGGTCTACAAACAGAAGGCCAGTTTTCGAGTAGTGTGCGAAAGTCTCCATGAACTTTACAAGGTCGCAGCATCGCCCCCGGGCCACGCTACAGATTTTTCGGATTTTGATGGCTGATTTCCAGCGTCTTCTCGAGATGACATTGATGGAGACATGAATGCCAGCTGGAATGCACACTCATAAGGCACTTGGAGATTGTTTCCGCCGATAACCGTAGGTAGATATAGCGTGAGGATCACGAAATAGAAGGTAATAATATGGGGCCTTCGTGCGATGAAGTATGATCGAGGATGGGCTGAGTGGTAGGCGGAATGAGCGGTGGGAGAAGAGATATCGGGACTGTGAATGAAGTTCAGTGGAGAAATTGATGGTTCAGGTCATGTTTCACATGTATTTCACATGTATTTCCATGTTATGACAGTTGTCGTACACACGGTCCCTCGCTCCGCGTGTCGAGGTTCCTATTTTCGCAAAGGATAAATGCCTGATATCAGATCAGCAGTAGACTTATCGATGATCTACAAGATTCAACCTGGAGATCCATGCAAATATTGATCCAGGTCGAGATAGTGTATTTACTGCAATCTACGCCGGGCTAGAGCAGGCTGGATACACGGAGTACCGTAAGTACCTGATCTAGATTGACCACTGTACGCAGTGCACGTCACACATCTACTATCCAATTGCGAAAAAGACTTCAGTTATAGGCAGTACAGGTCCAATTTTTATCTTACTATCATATCCGAGGTTCAGATGGGCTCATGGCCGCCGTTCGTACATTGAAAGTCGAGTAGTAGTTTTGCTGAGTGATTTAGGCCGCCTTTGAATAGTTCAATGGGATATGCCATGCTTGTGGTACAGCCATGAATCGGACACCTGATGGTGGGGTAGTCATGCATGATAGTACTGTTACTAGAGTACAGACGTCATGCATCTTGTACTGCTATCCTAGTCTGTCATTCATGCATGGTATACATCAGGCTACACTGTCCCTTGCCATGCATGGTGTCTTGGCTGCACCCCCAGTCTTGCATAGTAGTGTCTTGCCGTCATGCATGATAGCCGCCGCCTTGCATAGTGTCTTGCCATGCATGACAGCCGCTGCCTTGCATGATACCCGCAGTGTTACCCCATGCATGACAATCATGGCACCATACATGACAGCCGCAGTCTTGCATTGCGTCTTGCCATGCACGACAGCCGCTGCCTTGCATGATATCATGCACGACGCATGATAGTTGCCTCCCACGGTGACCGACGCCCACTGTTGCCTCTCACGGTGACCGACACCCATACCACACTGAGAATAGCAGGCCAAAATGCATCATAGTAGATAAAACGTGACTACTGTACAAGCATGTATCTCAAAAATCAAACAGTGAATGTTGCTGTGTCGATGCTTGTTGCTGCTGGGAGGGTAGGTGTCGTCCACAATGCCTGAAATTGAGCCGATAAAGCCCTGCGCAGCGATGCCTGGCGTTCGGCATAGGCCTTCAAACCTTCCCTCAAGCAGTCATCCAAGTGTTCTGAATCGCGGCCTTGTCTTTGACACCACCACCAGTCTGCCTGCCAGTCCAGGAATGCAATGACCCGCCGTTGCTCCTCCTTCAGCAAATCGACCTCCTCCTCCCATCGCATCGCGCGCGCGCGCCTTGCACCATTCGATACGAAGGGCTAACCATAAGCATGTCTGTCAGTGCAAGCAAATTGAAAAATATTAGGCCTTACCATCATGTAGGCCAACACTGGCGTCCTCTGCCACCCCCGGTGTCTTCCAGATCCACGACAGGTGTCTCGTCCCCTCCGTCTCCTTTTCCCACATGTCCTTCAACGATTTCAGGTCCCTGTTGCGATTGAGAGGCTTGAATATATCTTGCCAGGCCGGGCCTTCATCGAGAATCTGCGCCAGAGCAGTGAGCGCCGCCCTCGCAACTTCATAACGCTCAGCGGCCATGCTGACTTTGACATCGGTCTTATTGATAGTACTTCTTGCGCGGGTATTAGCTGCTTGGTCGACGATGTTGTTATCCTTGAATTTATATAGGTGTGAGCGGAGACGCAAAAGATTTCGAATGTCCTTTAACGCATCATTTGCTTGGGCGTAGCGTAACATCCATTCGAAGCGATGAAGCTGAGTAGGACACTGTGTGTCTGGGCCGACTGCAGATGGTAGCCACAGATTAATAGCTTCGACAGCGGGTGTTGCATCCGTAGAGGAGCGTGCACAATCTTCATTGGCGCGTAGGCGAGACACGAATGGCATATAAAGCAATTGGATCTCCTGCCACCCATCAACTTTCCTGCGTAATGTATTGGCATGCAGCTGGACCTTAGCGAGTTGGTGGTCGGTTGCATGGGCGCCGAGTGCTGCTATCTCATGCGATAAACGTCGTCTGTGTGCTCATTAGTTCTTTGCTCGTGAATTCATGAGCTGGTTAACTTACTGTTGATCTTCTAGGTCAATTGCGGAACTGATTAATACCGAGGGGGGGACTTCTGCATGAAGGGAGACATTTGTGCCAGACTCAAGTTCTGCGGCTTCAATACGTGCGAGTTCTAGACGAATAGCAGCCTGTGTCTCGGCTAATAAAGTCAACGGAGAGAAATTGAAACGAACAAAAACACATACGTGCTACTCGGACCTTGAATGGATTTGGCTGCATGCGATCCAGTTCCCAAGCCTCTATGTCAATTCTCCATTCGGAAATATCTTGTGCTTGCAGGCAGCTTTCAAGTTCCAAAAGCTCGCGTTGATGATCGGCTTTTTGCTCCACGGCGTTTGCTAATTTTCGAGCAGTGAGTCGTCCTAAGTGCAATATTGCATCATGATTAGTAGAAAGAACAAAATGCCAACGACAATGCTTACCAAGCTGGACAACACGCTTCCAATTCCAATCACCGAAATGGTCATCGAGTGTATCATGCCGAGAGCCTGGGCCCATCTCCTTGGTGCTTGATGCGATCGGGTTAATATTAGCCCACCCGCGTTCCAGAGCTTCGCCATCAGTACGACCAACATGCCGAGAGAAATTAAAAGAAAAATCAATCTGGCATGGCTCGATGTGGGCCGGTAGATGGAATTTTGGAATAAGAAAGTTGACCTGTTTGTTGTCGTGATCCAGATGAAACGCGGAAGGAAGCTTTGACATCCGCGACCACAGATGCTTGGACCATTGACACGCGATATCGTATGATATGTTGAGAACGATGACGTCGTGGTGTTTCATTGCCGAAAAAAATAGGTAATCCATATTAATGTACCTGTGCAGTGTTGTAAGGCGGTAGCGTGACAAAATAAACAATGGGGAATACATACTTCTCGCCCTTCTGTAAGTCACCAACTGCGTTGCGAAGTTTCATATTGTGCCTGGCACAATCCACCGTCCCAACACCTGTAGCGGCAAGGCCTCTAGACTTCTTTGTATCGGCCATATTCACAGCGTTGTGACTGGCGCATGTACTGCGCTATCGGTGACTGAGTTGTTTGCAACAATCGTTGACCAAAAAAAAGACTTACCTCCTGGTTCCGGTCTTTATTGTCTTCTAGATATGATTTGTACGC